GGCAGGATTTTACTGTCATATGTAAACCTGTTTGGGGAAAAAAATTTCGCCCCCGGGCTAGGGGTCTGCACCTGCACCCTGCCATGCAGGGGCGCTACGGCAGGCCCCTGGACCCCACCCATTAAGGGCTTTGCGCCAAGGCGCTCGCGGTGTGCGCTACTCGCGCACACTCTTCATTCGCACACAGCGAAATCATACCCCCACAACTGAGGACCTGTCTACACCACTGACTCCTACAGTCCTACTCCATGGTAAATCAAAGCCACCACATAAAGCACCATCACTCACTCATCTGTTTTACTCATAGAAATAATATAGATATAGATAATATCAAGAGCTCATAATAGGGAAGAGTATGACACCGTTTTGCAGTTTTCAACTTGTAAATATTCTATCAATATGTGAATAGATATATTCAAACTTTACCTCGTTTTCGTCTATGATTCTTCCTTAATCATATGACACCACCGATTTACCTGAAAATCTGCGAACATTTGGGAAAACTGTGTGAAACCGTGTCGTATTCAAAGAACTTATTTGAAGAACAGATACGATTTTCAGGTAAATTGGTGGTGTCATATGATTAAGGGAGAATCATAAACGAAAACAAGGTAAAGTTTGAATATAATTATTCACATATAGATAGAATATTTACAAGTTGAAAACTATGCAAAACGCTGTTAAAACGGTGTCATACTCTTCTGTATTATGAGCTCTTGATAATATCTATCTTATTTCTATGGTTTTACTAATGTTGATGCTGATTATAGTTCTATATATATATATATATATAACTAGAAAGGGCAGTTGTCGCCAACTACATATATCCCCCGTGTTCTCCCCAAGATGTGTAAGTATACGAAGTTTGGTCGTGATAGGTCAATTAGGGGCCGAGTTATAGAGCAGAAGGGAAATATGATAAAGGTAAAGATCAAGGTCAAGGTCAAATAAAGGTTTCAGTGATCTGGTTTTGGTACGCGACACACCTTCTCCCCAAGATGTGTAAGTATACCAAGTTTGGTCGCGCTAGGTCAATTAGGGGCCGAGTTATAGAGCAGAAGGAAAATATGATCAAGGTTAAGGTCAAGGTCAAATAAAAGCCGCAGTGACCAGGTTTTGGTACGCGACACACCTTCTCCCCAAGATGTGTAAGTATACCAAGTTTGGTCGCGCTAGGTCAATTAGGGGCAGAGTTATAGAGCAGAAGGAAAATATGATAAAGGTCAAGGTCAAGTTCAATGTCAAATAAAGGTTGCAGTGACCTGGTTTCAATATGCGACACACCTTCTCCCCAAGATGTGTAAGTATACCAAGTTTGGTAGCGCTAGGTCAATTAGGGGCCAAGTTAGAGAGCGGAAGAGAAATATAATCAAGGTCAAATAAAGGTCGCAGTGACCTGGTTTTGGTACGCTGCTCACCTTCTCCCCAAGATGTGTAAGTATACCAAGTTTGGTAGCGCTAGGTCAATTAGGGGCCAAGTTAGAGAGCGGAAGAGAAATATAATCAAGGTCAAATAAAGGTCGCAGTGACCTGGTTTTGGTACGCTGCTCACCTTCTCCCCAAGATGTGTAAGTATACGAAGTTTGGTCGCGCTAGGTCAATTAAGGGCCGAGTTATAGAGCAGAAGGAAAATGTGATCAAGGTTAAGGTAAAGGTCAAATAAAGGTCGCAGTGACCTGGTTTTGGTACGCTGCTCACCTTCTCCCCAAGATGTGTAAGTATACCAAGTTTGGTAGCGCTAGGTCAATTAGGGGTCATTTAGACCGAGCGGCAGCGGCGGCTGGGGAGACATGAAACCATAGTACACGTAGTATCCCCGCCGACTTCGTCGCGGGGGATATAAATATACTCATTAAACGGAAGACCACGTGAATATGTGAACTGATTCAACTACGATAAACATCTCTGATTCCTAGATTCACCTCAGCATATACGATTTAGGTAACATCTAATTTTGTGTCGGGTTCCCTTTTAATGATTGAAGCAATCAGAATCAAGCATGATTCGTTGTTTTCGTCATGAAGCAGGGAAATACTACTATAACGAGAAATAGATCGGGTCACAGAGACAAGGTGATGCACGGCCTCTCCACACAAACATGAGCATCCATATTTTATCTGCTCGATTTCCTCACCTCAATATCCATGCAGAGATCCTCACAGAGTTTGATGTGCCCTTGGTACGGCATAGACAGATACATGATTTTCAATACGATCAGCTCACCCCACCCAGCCTGAAGGAGCAGCATCTGATCCGTCAATGCAAGATCCTTGAAACCTAAAATGCAGGTATACTATTAGACATTATTACTGTAATGGATGATGCCACTGTCAGAAAAAAATACGAGCTGTAAGCACAGTCCAACTGAACAAACAACTGAAAAAACATTTTTAATGATCGAAGCATTTCTGTCGTCCTTCGCATGTGACACGATGCCCTAGGTACAGTTGAATTGAGATAATTATTTAGTTTAAAGCATGAGGATACTGACAGTTGTTACATTTATAGAGATGTTACCCATATCTGCCTGTCTAACGAGCTACAGCCAACGCTCTCGTTTGTTCGCTTGGGTTTAAATGATGTCATTTAGAAAGGTTTTTGAAACATTGATTAATACACACACATGCGCATACGTACGTATACGCACGCGCGCACACAGGCATGCACGCACACACATACAGTACGCATGTAGAACCTGCCCAGCAGTATTAGCAGTACAACAATTCGGATTATAAAGGATGGGGTGGAAAGTGAAAAAGAAGAACAAGAGATAAGACACAACCATAGAGGAGATGGTATCATGTATATTACCACGACATACGAGGGTGTCACGACAACTACCTCTCAGACAATCACCCCAAAAACAATTACACCTGGACAATTACCTCTCATGCCATTAACCCCCTAGATAATTCCCCCCCCTCGCCAATTACCCCGTCTCTCAAAACAAAAATCCTCGGGTAATTATCAATATGCCAGTCCCCCTACATGCCTCAGACAAATACCCCTGGACAAACAATCCCATGCTAATGACATCACACAGCTATGGCCGACTCCTCGATAAGCTTTTGCTGTGGTAATTGTCTGGGGAGGGGGGTGATTGTCCGTAGGTAAATGGTCCAGGGGGAAGAGAATTGTGCAGAGGTGATTGTCCCAGGAGTACTTGTCTAGGGGGTACATTTCTGGGAGGGGGTGAATGGCATAGAGGTCAATCGTCCTAGAAGTAACGGTCTGGAGGAATTGTCCTAGACCTGAGTAGCTGATCAAATGCCACAGAGAAAGAAGGGAAGGGTGGGGTCAATGGAAGGTGAAGGGAAACAGAACGAAGAGGAAAAAAAAGGAGGATCAAGGTAAACAGGTACAAGAGGCATGAAAAATGAGTAAACTAGGGAGGGAGTGATTTAGGGAGCCAGGTGGATGGAAGGGAATGGAGAAAAAATAAGGAAAGTAACGAAGTAAGTACAACACACTTACCCGGCACTATCTACCTGCGATCCAACACACTTACCCGGCGCCCTCTACACGCGATCCAACACACTTACCCGGCGCCCTCTACACATGATCCAACACACTTACCCGGCGCCCTCTACACGTGATCCAACACACTTACCCGGCGCCCTCTACACGCGATCCAACACACTTACCCGGCGCCCTCTACATGTAAACCAACACACTTACCCGGCGCCCTCTACATGTAAACCAACACACTTACCCGGCGCCCTCTACATGTAAACCAACACACTTACCCGGCGCCCTCTACACGCCATCCAACACACTTACCCGGCGCCCTCTACACGTGAACCAACACACTTACCTGGCACTCTCTACACGCGATCCAACACACTTACCTGGCGCCCTCTACACGTGATCCATCACACTTACCCGGCGCCCTCTACACGCGATCCATCACACTTACCCGGCGCCCTCTACACGCGATCCAACACACTTACCCGGCGCCCTCTACACGCGATCCAACACACTTACCCGGCGCCCTCTACACGCGATCCAACACACTTACCCGGCACTCTCTTTGCCCAGTTGATAATGTTGCTCAGCATGCGATCTGAGATATCACTCATTGCACTCAGTGTCCGGAGAAGACCCTCTGGCTGGTTGCTGTCGACGTTGGCGTAGAGACGCTCGTTGCAATCTATCGCATTGAGCTGCCGTAGGAATGTCTCACCTGCACAGGTGTGGTTGCATCTATCAGTAAATGTCGCCAGAGAAACTCAAACGCAGGGGGTTACAACCTGTGCCGCATAGTGACAGGGCTCATCTGGTGTCTGGTTTTCTGCTGATAAATTCATTTGTGCATAGCAAGGCGTCCTATACATACGTTCATTTCTAACCCCAAAAAACAACACTTCAAACTAGTGTAATAAAATTCCGATAGATGGCGGGCGGCTATCAAAGGCATCGTTGCATCGGTCAGCAAAAGCATTGCAGCAATGGCAGCTGTCAGTGTGACGACGAATTGCAAAAAGCAGGAGCGAATAATTACCATATTATTACTATACATAACGTGCGTTCTATACAAAAAGTTTTTCAATCGCTCCGTCAGACCATGTCCTCAAAAAATGTCTAAAATCTGCCCTGTGCCCCATTGACCTTTGACCTGCGACCTCCAATTTC